TCAACTACACCCGATATTTCAGCAAACAGGTTTCCTGATATAAAATACCATTTTTTCAAATTAGTGAATCAGATTCGTTTGATCACCACTAAAGCAAGAAGCAGACAGTATGTTGGTTAATACTCAGTGGTCGATGAATTCCCGTATTACAGTCCCACAGATAGATCACCGCTTTAATCCCTCAGTGGTAACTTCTCAGATTATGAATGTGAGGAAACTTGAATCCTACAGTGAGCACTATTTCCTCCAAGATTGTACATAGGCTCGCTTGCAAGGGCAGACGAGGACGAAAACTGAGTAATGAAGGATTGCCTGCTGAGTAATTCTTACTAACTAACATCAATACATTAGTGTTTTAAATAAAACCTATTCTCTACTCAGTAGACAATTTCTAGATTGTATAGGATGAACAAATTTGGACTTTTTTTGGTTGTTAGACTGTAGCTGTAGTGGTTCATTCTGTGAATATAGAAAGCTGATTGAATGACAAGTATATACCCGTAATCGAACAAGTTGTTAGTAGTCATTGATTCACTGTCCAACTAACATTACAAAATTAACTGATCGTCACAATATTACACTGTCAAGTAATTACAACCTAATGATGAAACATGTAGTCAGTAATTCTTGATTTCCACTTTACGCCATTCTGTACAATAAATTATTATCATACGCAGCTCAACCATGATATTTCTTGTAATCCACATAAACAGTACATAAAACTTACTTGAATAGGAATTTTCTGTTTGTCTATTACAAGTTGTTGTTGTGAAATACACTGAGGCCGGATTACTTTCTCTTTCCATACCGTTATGGGAAATGAACAAAGTTTGTACACGTACAACATAAAATGTATTCGGTTTCAGCTGGTTTAATGTAATCCATGTTTGATCCTAGATAGAAAAACGAAATTCAAATCTTGCAAATTTCCTTGTACGACAAGCAATAATCATCTCTACTTTTCAAGAACAAATATCACAGTTTCAATATTCTGTAAAATTGGTGTGCGATCGGTCACTTTGCCAATGAATTAAAATGGAAATTTGAATATGCCTAGTTTATTAATATATCGCTAGCAACATGTAGCTATTGCGCTGACTGCTACAGCTTAGAGATTTCGATCTCATCGTGTGATAATTTGTTTAAACTGAAACAGAACATCTGTTTGGTACCTAAGAATTCTCATTTATCACTCAACTGATAGTGCACTCTGATTAGACATGCATACCATTTTAAATAGTGATGAGTTATGTGTAAGCCATATTTCGTAGTTGAATCAGTCAAATGTTATTTGTGATGAATGTTTTGCAATATTACTCTTACAGAAACATTAAATGATCCATAACATATCGGCGAATCATCGTAACTCACCTTCAATAAGTGTTGAAGTTACAATATTTTCATCAAGCAACGTAGCGGAATATTTAAGATTCCCACTCGATGTTATCAGTAGCCCCTCTGTTGTTAAATAGGAAACAACTATGACTGGATGTTGGTTGCCACGGAAACGAGTTTGATAAGTGAATAAGGAATCCCAATTAGAAATATGAGTATGTGACACACAACTACAAGATAGTGTTCAGTAGTAGTATATTCAATGGTCCATGGGATTTCTGCCGAATTACAATAGTCTGCTAGTACTGCACACATTTTCAAAATTTGATCACTGTTGTTTTTTGTTCCAACATTATTAAGTCTTCAATAAGGTACTTACTTACTAACTTAGCTACTTACTCAAACCTGTTATCCCTATTAGAGCATAGGCCACCGACCAGCATTCTACAACCTACTCAGTCATGTGCCTTCCTTTCCAGTCAAGCATAGTTGATTCTAATCTGTTGGTAGTGTTGTGAAATCTCGAGTAATAAAGAACAGTTCACTAGATAAAATTCATTGATGATAACAGGAAAATAATTAGCGAGGAAAAAACACACGTGTGTCAGTTACCTCGTCTATCACTCTGACATCAATCTGTTGCAAATCCATTATTGGACTGAAACCGATTTCATCATTGTACATTGATTCATCTACTGGTTCGTCGATTCTCGGTGCCCACGTAATTCGATATTTGGTTGAATTTCTGTTGAATCTATAGACAGAAGCAGAGAGACTTGAATGTTCTTCCACTTGTCGTGTTATTCTATCTGAAGTCGTCGTCATCGGTTGTATCCATGATATTCGATAATTTAAACTACCAATGTGATTAGCTTGAAGTTGCGTTGGTTCGGATGCTGAAACGTGTATGAATATTGTTATTTGTAGGTGAATCGTATAGTTAGAGATGAAAAACTGGTACTTTTATTTAACAGTCACTTAATTCATTGATCTCAGCAAAGATTGAAGAACGTCCGTTGTGATTCACATGGCACTACATAGTTTGATTGGGACAAGTGCATGCTCTCACACCTCAATTGCCAAAACTCAGCGCCCATTTTATGCTCAAATAAAGATAATGATAAACTTGAACACGTCAGCACTATGAACATAGCAGCTCCATCAGCAAAGGCATTCAAAACGAAACCTGAATATCTATACAGAAATGCTCTGTAGGTTTTATGGTTATTTAACCAATAGCCATCTTCAGTTTCGAAAACTAGCTGTTTTACCTGTGTCGATTGTGAGACCAATGTGCTAGCATTGAGTTTCCAGAAGACCTCGTTTAATAAGTCCAAATCATTTTGAACAATTTACATTAGTCAACAACTGGTGACCATGTGTGATGGCACCTTATATTGGGTTACTCAAACAAGAATTTTCTATTTTATCCCACTCGAGCCTCATCAAGCCTTACATATATTTCTGAGGAATGAACATTTCAGCGAACATGATTTACTTAACTCGCCAGATTTTAATTCATATTGCTGAAAAGTGACACGTTTTATTGCGGAGATTTGTCAAGTCTTCAACGCTCCTTGATACACTATTATTGATAAAAATCACAGTTGTACTGTGTAAAGTTGTTGGGAAAGATTTCATGGAGATCAGTTCACTTTGTCGTGTGACAGTTTTCTTCAGTGTTTGACATTAGCTGAGATACTAATAGAATCAAGAAACATTAAACTACTGGCTCATCTTATCATGGGATTTCTAATCAATGTCAGTATTTCGTCGAAAAATCATGGTCCATATTTTCAACTTCGATCAGTTTATGATGTAGTTGATTATCTGGAATGGTTGGTAATATGTCGTCACGGCTAGGTCCTGAGAGTCATGAAGTCTCGTTGGGATCTGGGTGCTGGTTTTCTATGACACCTCAATTTATTCCAGTAATTGACAAACATCGATTACATTCTGCATGAAGCTTGATTCGTATAGAGCTGATGACATGCGCATGAATAACTACTCTTTCCATCTTAAAACAATCTTCAAGTTAACTTACCTGACAAGATACAATTATCTGGTACTTGACCTTCTTTCGTTAGAATATCTGAACAAGATAGTGTACAAAAACATCCATAATAAGTAAATGGATTCAATTGTTGATTTTGAACTTGAACAACTGATTCTATCATATTTAAATACGTTTCATCTAAAATTGTTGGATATACACGAATCCGTACACAATAACGACAGTTAAAATGAAGGTTTTCTAATACAACTCTTCTATGCTAGAAAAAAATTATGGAAAAAAATGTGTCAAAATAATTTGTCTACTGAATTGAAATAAACAGTTAATATTTTTGAAAGTAAATTTACTTACAGCTTTAATAATCAATCGAATATATGTGTTCATTTACGGAAATCAGTTACAGTAAGCCTTATGATAGTAATCAGGTATAACGTGATCGCGTGAATGTGCGGACGGGAGGCTGTAGATTATCAATTTAGTTCATTTAGTTACAGTGTGATGTTGAGAAAAAAAGACTTGAATGAAACTAACGAAACTTATAAATCCTAATTTGCAATTTTCAGCAGTGTCATCCACTATTATGAAAATAAATAACGTTAGTAAATAAAATCGAAAGACTCATTCTCAGCAAATTGACTCATACTGAACATTGGTCGAAGTCCTGTGATATTTATCTAGAATTTCACTATAGTTTAAAATTTTCTTTCCTCGATAATGCAACAACCATAAAGGTGTATTTTATGCTGACAAATCTTCTCAATGGAAGTAAGTTGAAAAATAATATGGATATGCCCATTTCTGTCAGAAAGATGCTGTGCTCACCACCTTGAGTGACTGAAAGGACAACTTCGAAATTCTCACACATTTTATCTGATGAGTGAACAAAACTATCTATCTATCACTGTGAAAGTGTCAATTAATATGCATACGGTGGTCTCACATGGTATATGAATAGTATCAAGCTTTGAATCCTTTCCAAAATACGTACTGGTTAAGTAGATCAGCCCATGTTTGCGTATTTATATGGTCATAACTACTATTAGAAACATTTTCCTACAGTCGTCACAATATTTTCTTGGAAATTCCCTCACATTTCGATAGGGGAATTCAATGTAACCTTCTGATACAGTTTCAGAGAATTTAGTCGAAAAAAGTCACTGACAAAGTGAGTGGATTGTAATGCTTGATTCCACATAGATTGAATATGATGCATGTTGTTAGATTTCAATTTCCGATGAATAATAAGTGACTGAAAATCAATATTATCGATTAAAGATGCATCGAATACTGAATTTTGACGCAAATCAAAAGCAACCGAAGACAATTCAATTTAAATGGTGCTCACTGAATATTCTTTAAAACTAATACAACTCCACATGATTGACTTAGTTAGAAGTTGAATATATCTGTCTACTTTGATGCTTTACATACAATACGATGACTATCTTATCTCTCTTATTATCACCTCTGAAATGCATTTAAAAAACAGTGTTTCTTAATGAAATTCACTCTGTCAGTAGGTATAGATCTGCGTTATTAAACGATAATGTGTTGGGACCACTTTGCGATGATAACAACATACATTTGATGAGAAATTACTTCCAACCGAAATATCTACAGTTGTGTGAGTATCTTTACTTGAATCACAATCGCGAATACCGAAATCGCCCAACATTTGTTCAAGTTGAAATAACCCACTGTTTCTAATAGCCATTCGTTCAAATTTACTGTAAGTAGAGATTTTCATCAAAGAAATAGATAAAAACTGGGCGATTGTCTAATTTTGATATGCCACTCTGTGCCAACGATTAAAATCAGAACACTCAAGTCCCACGGTGAACATATTACTTCTTTAAGGTCATATTTTCAACTTCAGTCGATCATTATTACATCAATAGACATGGATATGCATTGAGGAAATCGCATCATACAATAAGATAAATGAATGTAATAGCTGGATAGAAAGCAAACAAGAGCATGTCAAAATACATACTCTGGAACATTAACAGCACCAATGAATGAACATGTAAATTTAACATACTGTAGATTTTAACAAGATTGTTGAAGGTGACATATTCAATAGAATATTCTTTGAATCAATGCACACTTGTGGATACCATTCGATTATTGTTGTGTTTTCCTTCTTTATAGCTATGTTGAATTCAAAAACAAACCATGGACAAACAGATAATCATATGGTGATATAATGAGTTAACACTCCATTCAAGTTTTGCCTAACAGAATCTAACAGTCATTATGAGCAAAGTTCATTCTTCACAGTTATATCGATATGATGACTTCAATTCACATAACTAACATAACATCATTGTATTCAATCTGTGAATGATAAACACTATGGTTTACTGATTTATTGTCCAGTGATGTGTTTCACATAGGTTTCCTCGTTATCTTTGTTTCACTCTTATCTTTCAATGGACCTTTAATTTTTCATAAATAACTCCTTAACAAGTGTTCTTATTGTATTCAGCTAAGGTATCATATAGTTCTGATACTCTTCATTTTCGTATTTTACTGTTTACGGTTTTAAGCGCTATGATTCGAACGGAACAACATCTTCATTCCCAGCATAAAATTTATCATCAGTATGGAATTATTTCTACAGACGGCGAGTAAGTTAGGTCACTATGTGACAATGAGAAGCAATGGAGAATCTGAGTGACTGCATGTGTAGTTAAATGTTCACATTTAGCCAACAGTTTTCCTTCTCCTATAGTGATCGAATACTACCTACTGATGTCCAGACTAGGAAATATCAACAAAATAGAAGATGACAGAGGAACTTACTCATATTAATTTGTAGTACAGCCTTTAATTTATGGTTATCGTAGAATATTTTCTTCAGCAGTAAAGGTTGTGGACCATTTCCACATTCACAGATTGATGATTTTGATTTCAGCGCGAATTCTGTTGGTAATTTGACTGAAATATAAAATAGTTCAAAACACACATTTGAATAAATATACATGAGCATTCATTGTGAATCCGAAAATAACAATCTTTGAAAGTATATTCGATCATTAGAAATAATGGAGTTTGTAACTAATTCGACAACTCAAAAGAACGGTGAATCGATTTATCAGTTTCCTAAACGATCGATTGTAAAACAATTATTTATAAGTAGAAATTTAATATCCCTCTCTTAATCTTCTACATGACATAATTCCTGAGTGTAGCATACAGCCTTGTACAACCAATTGTAGCAAATCGTTATGTTGTATTTACTTATTGATACAGTAGTACATGAGTCTGAATAACACTTTAAGATATGTAGCATTGTATTACAGTTTGTTTGTTTGTGAAACCACCATAGTTGCACTTTGTCAGTTACGTACACGTAAATGGTCAATGATAGAAGAATCAATTTTTCTCTTTTTTGATTCAACCAGAGAATGAAACACGAGTGTAAATGAAGCCAACGATCGCTCATAGAATAATTCCAAATAATTAAACGTAGTGTTTTAACTAAGAGTTATTGAAACCAGATACTGATTAGTTTGTGTTGGTCATTGAGATTTTATGTTCTGGGTACACCTAATTGAGCTTGTTATGAAAAGATCGTACAAATGCTTGTCTTTCATAAAAAGTAATCATCATTTCACATTGAACTACATTTGGACATACTTGTATTCGGTGTAGCATAGATTTGTATTGGATTAACAGTTTGTTGATGAAATGCTGGATGAATGGATTGAGTGGAAAGAAATATTGTATTTGGTTGAGATTCGAGATTACCGAATCCATGCCAATGAGCGATTGCTCTCACCTGATGAAATAAAGGGAAACACAAATGTACAAAATTATCAGTACACATCATTACATCTAAAATTGCATACGTTTCTTTTTTCATATTCACACTTTCAGCTTGATCATTCTCTGTTGACAGATGATAAAAGTGAGTGGATCACACGCGTGTAGCCAAAAAGTGACTATATTTCAGAAAGGTGGGTAATAGTAAAATCATAAAGCATGTTTATGTTATCTGAGACTCACAAGTCCTTTTAACTTTACAACCATGCAGTACCTCCATATATTCACAGTGACTAAAAGATGACCATTGTGATGGGTAAAGCATTTATAGACTTTGACACTTGAATTCAACAGAAATGTATGAGACTGTGTGTGATCATTGCTTTGCATACCCGAAATAAATCGAAACACATTTGGTTGTTTAATTATAATTTGTAATCTACGTTCATTTACAGTAAATCCGTGTTGGTTCGGGTTGCCATGCCATACATAGTACAGCACAACCGAAGCAATTTACAAGAGTGAATGATGATCTTGTCAACATAAGATAACAATAATAACAACGATAGAAAGAAGTGTTTCCAATAAAAGAATTCTAGAACTGAGCATCAAGAGGGAAGATAAAAAATGAACATATTCAAATGATAGCGATCAATCCATAGTCACATCAGTCAACATTACTAGTTGCGATGACCGTAATTACTCAAACAGAATCGGAGTAAACAATAACATATCTTCGACCTTATTTCATTTTATTAAGTACCATCAAAATGTTCATGAATTGAAACATGATATGACAAGAGAATAAATTATAGTTCACATGAATTCCACTGTTCTAAAATATACGGGAAACTTTAAAGTACTGAATGATTTCAAAGTAACACAATGTCACTTACTTGGATTTTGTATGAGGTTGCCGGTTTCAAATTATGCAAAATACACTCTGTTCGTTCCTAAATTTAAATCAGAGAGAATCCACATAGCATTATTTATTCAAATATATTACAGATTCTTCTAAAATTGTGAGAACGATAAGCGTAAACTTTGTTTGAATCACTGATATACTATTCTCATTTAAATGGAATTGATAGGTGTATTGAAGCATAGACAGTATAACTAAGATCTGTAAGACATGTGAAGCAATTCTGTCAGTAAGATGGTGGAGAAGAGCCACAATTTTCGAGATGAATTTTGAAGGTTGGATAAAGTTGCGCAAATAAAACTTTTAGTCGACTAGACATAAATATCAGATTTGAACAATATCAATGCAGTCTTACATGAAGACAGTGGAAAATATCTCATGAACTGAAGATGGTTTTCGACAGTGGAGAAGTTCCGATGTGATGATAGTGAGGAAGTTAACGAGTGATATCATGGAATACTTGTTAGACCGTATCATGAACCGACTAATGTTGGAGAATATTTGACGAGCGATTTCAGTCCGTATAGTGAAAATGTAACAGCAACTTCAAGATACTAACGACACTTGAGTTTTGATTTTATGCAACGTTTTGATTGTCATCTAAACAGTAATGATCACAAGGTAAATGCAATGCAATTATACAGTGTACTCTGCTTCTCAATTGCTTATCAATCGGTATCAGCCTGTTTTGATTACTGTTTTCTAATTGAATCGTCACCTAAAACCATCAAACTAAACACTTGTTTTCGCAAATACACTATGCTGTCTGGATTCTCTATCGTCCTAACTACGTATTACTGTTGCATTTCTTTTCAATGAAAAGTAAACAACCTTTTTCATAAAATATGCTTTCACAAGTTTATCTTACCGCATTGATTGTTTGAGTGAACTGAACAAGAGCTTCTAGGGTTCCTCCATCTGTTTGTAAGTAACCATGATCAATGGACCAAGATATCTAACAATGAAAATAATTGATAAAATCAATCAACCAACTAATCAATCAGTCAGTCAGTCAGTCAGTCAATGAAGCATTTTGTTAACAGACTCAACATTTTCAGTTATGAATGAATAAACTAGTAGTACATTGCATTGACAAGAGTCAAATTTCAACTTACCAAATATTCAGTTAACGGTAGATCACTTCGTACCGGTGGTTGCCATCTTAGTAGAAGATTTATCTTACCAGATGAATACAACCTCCACATTGAATCGGTTACATTTCTGGGTGGTCCCGGTGGTGATGGTCTGATTGGATCTACAGGATAAGTATTTGTGCTTAAACCGAATCCTCTGGTACCATGAATACTGACGGCAGCAATACGAAATTGATACAAACGTCCAGGTTCAAATGCCTCAAGATTCACTCCAAACTCATGAGTCTAAAAAATGCATACAAAATGACCATACAAACACACAGACACCTATATACATTGAACTAAATAAAAATCATTGGCAAAAAGTACATTTTCCGAAAATTCTATTCAGTTGGAAAGATGTTTGACTTTCAGTGTAATCGTCTATGGATGAAATGAAGCGTCATCTCTAAAAACTGGAATATTATAATTTTTTTCAATTAGGAAAAGCTTCCGTTTGAAGTTTGGTTCATGAACTAGTAGCAATAAAAATATGTCGAACAGTGGTTTGGCCTAATTTCGAACTATCTCTCTTTGTCAATACTGTAATGTAAATATTTGTACCCATTAAATGAGACATCTACTGACAATAAACAATAGTGCATTTTGCATAGAATTTTTTGGTCAGTTCTGTTTAATGCATGTCACATTAGTGTTTTCTAATTACTTACCATAATTAATGTTTGCCATTTTGATGCATAACTTTCATTGAATACTTTACAAATACATATTCTTGCTTGTAATATAAATACAATTGGATTCATTTTACTAGTTATATTTTGATATTGTGCAGACCAAAATAATTTCACAATATTTTCATTTGTAGAAGACACGACAGAATTCACAAGAATTGGTCGAGGTGGGACAAGTTCATTGTAGATAGGCTATATAAAAAATTTGAACAAATTTATACATACGGTAGTATAACACAATGAAATTGTTTTATTCTGTTAGAATAAAGCAAGTTCCGTCAAATTTCGTTTCTAACAAACAGTGTGATTAGAGAGTTGGTTCGGATTATCGTGATGTTATTACTACAAGAAGCGTATGGCGATCACAGGATTTCATTACTCTTACACCTTGGATTGATGTTAGTAGTCGAGACAACCAGTTAAAGTCAATGTATAACTGTGACATTTTTTGAAAATAAAAAAAAACTGATGGTGAGAAACCGATGATAGTTAAACAGATGGTTATATGAATTTCTCATAATTGTTTACTAATTGGTCAACAATATCACATGTGCATAGTTCAATGTTACATGTCATTATTGTTGTGTCTTTATGTCACACATTGACCGATTACAACAAGATCACAGTGTAAAACAAATTTTAATTGATTAGAATAAAATTTACGTGTAAATGTGAAATTATTGTTGTTTGTATTAGATTGGCAAAACTGACTTTGAATGATTAGTCAGATGAATTCAATAACACAACAATAAAAATGACATAGAACAAGTCAAGAAAGTATGATCAACGTGTTCAATTTGATAGTATGACAAGTAATGAACAGATGGATAGAATTTCAAGAGAAAATTCAATGCAGAACATTCAGAGACATTTTGAAAGAAATTGAAAAATAAACTGATTCATTTTGTTATTAGGAACTGCACAACTATTATTTACTAATAGGAATGACTAGCTATTACAATTATTGTTCACGCTCAATCATCGATCCCCTAGACAAATGGTGTTTGGTAAAGTATTAATAGTTGAAAGAAAACTGGGCTTCACCAAACCAAAACGATGTGTCGATCAATGGAGATTATCGACTGTTGGAGGTAGATCCAGACTAGATATTTTGGGTCTGTGAGATTATTGTGGTCAATGATTTAAGAAGCTAAGTGAGGTAGCTACAAAATTAGCTTCAGTGAGAACTATGCGTTGACTCTTTGTCTTCCGTTGTATTTCGAGTTTCACATTTATTCTGCGTTATTTATTCTGTGAATCGTGTTCTTTATATCTAATTTCCTCAAACTATCAATGATTCTATTTCTACGACTTGGTATACGCAATATCAAATCAATTGAACTATGTTATTTCGATAGGCGGAATCCAATGAACATTAGCAACTGGACAAAATTCAAATTAGTTACTGTTTAAAAGATAATCAATGTTTAATTCGTTTGTTTTGGTAGGTTGAATATTATTGAGGATTCCCATTGTGAACATTAGAACAACACATATAAGCGAACAATATTGTTTATGATAATATCGTCATCAAGCTTTGTTGTAATATACATGAATATTGATATGAAAATGTTAAACCATTTAAGACAATTTGAGTCAATAAACATAATGAAATGAAACAGATTACGTCACGACACATAATAGGCAAAGTAAAAGTTGATAGTAGTAAGAAATATAAAATACGATAACGCAATTGCCTGTGCTCACTAGTGACTAGCTCCGTGAGGAATCTTCACCGACTTCTAGTGGGAAGTCGTGACCAGTGAAGTTCAACCTGTTTGGGTGTAGACAGTAACTACCAAAGACGGTGTATGAGGTTGCGCAACTCCGTCAATTGTTCAAAGTTAGACAACAACACTGTTAGGCGCCGGCTCAATGGTCAAGAGGCTGGGGTTCGCGCGCAAGACTGAGGGTCCTAGGTTCGAATCCTGCGGGTCATAGGAGTCGTGGATACGCACTGCTGATGAGTCCCGTACCAAGAAGAAACGACCGTCCAATGCTTCCAGGTTTCTAATGGTGGTGTAACATTGATCGGTTCGTGATTTTATATGCGTAACAAAAGTCTTTTCAACAGTTCAACATTGTAGATAGTAGGTCAAACGTTGATAAATAGACATAAAATAATCATCACAAAACATTACAACCGTTACGTTAAAAGAAGTGTGTTTTCTCATTGATAATTAGGACTGCGATTGATCAGTCTCATTTGGTATATGTGCTTCCTGTAAGGATTAGCTCTATATAGCCAACAGGTTGGCTGAGACTATTTACATAACGTAGTCAAACAGATATTTAACTATGAATTATGCCGTCTTGATTCAGAAGCCTTCAGCTTTTTTATCGCTCAATTCTACACCAACCAGTAGACACTACTCATCGAGGTAGATCATTAGAGGAGGAATATTTGAAAGAGTAATTCAATATTAAGAGGAAGAAGGTGACATAGTTAATAGTGAATATGTTAACGATAAATCTGCTTTCAGATAACAAATCAACTCACTTACATCTGTACATTGTTGATGACAATTAGATTTACAACAGATTTGAAGAGGATTTTTACAATCATTATCTACTTGACAATGATTCACACAATCATTAACTATTGGATATTTCTGTTCATTGTCATGTGTTTGATTATTTCGATCAATTAATAATGGTACATGATTTAAATTGTTCAGCGAATGATTAGAAAAATTATGACATTCACCTGGTCGATTTGCCAATGTTTGTTGAATAAGAAAACATCCAATTCGATATCCAATTGCTGAATGCTGAAATACATTATTTTTAAAAACGCCGAAAGAGTTATGTTGTGAGAATTTTCAAAAATTATTCTTGTTAACGCCACGTTAAGTTAATACGTTGACTAATTATAAATAAGTAATAGTGTTTGATTTAATTCAACTGTCTTCAAATGTTAATTCACTACAAATTGAAGTTCAAGTGTCAAAAATCAAGTTTTTATTGTTTATAACGATATTATTTAGTGATCAATTTGTTTTACGCAGTTCAATTTTCAGTTTGATTAGAAACTATGCAAAGTATAAAGAAACAAGTCAAAAGCATCACTCATCATCATCACCACGTACAACGTCATTAAGTTTTGACGCAATGAATTTTGTGTATGGCACTGACTGGAGTACATAAATTAAACGGTGGATTGTTTTAATCAATCGAAACTGGGATACATTGATACTGTTGATCAAGTTGCAGTTCGTCCACAAGAAAAACCAGTTCCCAAAGTAGTTCAAGTAAATTTTGTCCACTACTAATAAGTGGGATGAAACTTCAATTAAGTAAGCTTTTCAGTCGATTCCTTGAGCCGTCTTACATCAAAAACGTAGTGTTTGCGATGTTCAATCGCAAATAGACTAGAGGTCATGACGAAATTTCATTAACTGACTTCTATCGGCACTAAGGATCAAACAAATGTGACACTAGTTACTACTCAATGATTGAACCTATGAAATTACAAATAGAAATTCTCATTTTGATACAAAAACTAATATTATGAAATCTGAAAAATTTCACATTATTCAAACCAACTAGTGTGAGAATAAGTTTATTGACTTATTCCATGTGTAATAATAATTATACTGGCTTTATTCAATTGTACATGTTTAGTACAATATGAAATTCTCTGCACGAATTCTTTCAGCAAATTTCCTTCAAAATCAATTAATGATTGACAGTAGCAAGCAGACAGTTCAACAATCCACATCACAAAATAACGTTCATTCTTCTCTCAACACATTGTCAGTCACTGTAATGTCTCAGATTTTACTTTTTTTTTGTACCTCGTAAAATAATAGTTCGTTGACTTTCTAAACACTCATCTGATTAGATTATGAGGTTAACATACAGAAGTGACATGTCAGAGCTTAAAGAAAGAGGTAGCTCGTTAATTTTGGGAAATGACTAGCCTAAATATTCATCTCTAACTGAAATTTTAGAGATTTTAAAACTTGTTTTGTTACAATCTACTGTCCCCATTCATTACCTACGGAATGTTTGATCGAATTTTCATTTAGAACTTGATGAATACCTTTTCACTAACTGACATCATTTAGTGAACAAATGAATGATAAAACATAAAGACCATTTTTCAATTTGAATTTATGTACAGATAACCGATAGAAAATGGTGACTGATTAATGAGTTTAGCAATATTTTCAACAGTCAAAATTCGATTTTGAGCGAACTAACGTTGTTCTTAGTGAGGATCTTACATAGTCTTGTTATATTTCAGACCATAGCAATGATCACTTTCTATCTATCAGTAGTTTAGTCGAGGATAATTTGACGTTTAGAATAACAAGTGCTGGATTCGAGTCTCAGTATTTTATATCAATAGTAGGAATGAAGTACATAAATCCAGCTGATAACTGGTGTTCCAGATCCAACTGTCAATTACAATCCAACCTTTTTTCTAAAAACTTGAATGTCACCAATTCAACCCAGTTCGATGCATAAACTATTAATTTTTCATAAATAAGAGGAAGAAACAGTTGTTCATATATATCATGTTGATTTTCTAATCTAACTGTTTTCCAATTTAATCTGCAATCACTTGTATTGTATTTCATCAAAATCACATCACATAATTTGAAAATCTGTAATCGTCAACAACAATAACAACAACAACAACTTTGATCATTATCTGGGAAACTTAAAAATTCACATTTCCAATTGTATTTCAAACGCACTTTTTCTCATACGACCAAGTTAACCAAAACAAAAAAGAATAAATAGGAAATCAGCAGGAAATTCCCAATGCCCACTGTGATATCAATTGAAATAATGTAGAAGTTTACTGTATAAACAACATGATAAATCATCATGTATGTTTGATATCGATGAATTTAGTAGTTTAGAGGCGTTATTGAATTACTCTATGTGAATAATTGTGTGACAGGTGGAAAGCGCTTATCAACACTATGTAAAAACAACATAATTATCAAAGAAATGCTGCTGTTAGGGAAAGAGTATTAAGTAAGAATGGCAGATCAATTAATGAGGTAGTGAAACTTCATCAGTTGAGGTGGTTGGGATATGTGTTATGTACGCCTAACCACCGATTGACTCAGTGAACGATGATGCCTGGTGTAGGGGCAGTCTGGAAGCAAGCTAGTGGCGGCCAGACCAAAACATGGCACAAAGCCATGAAACTACTGATAACTGCACTGAGCCATGTTGGTAGATGTATACTACCTGGTTTGTGTCCGCGAGACAATAGTAACCCATGTTTAAACATACTGAATGACATGGCTCGAAATCGTTTACAATGATGTAGGTGCATCGATTCATTGTCTTCTCTCAAATTCTAATCTTCTGAATTCCTCATGACCACTTTTATCTCTCTTTTATGTTTATTTTTAGGTTAGGATAAATTTCTCGAATGATATCTCTGAATTTCTAATCCTTCTGATTACCGAGAATACTTCTACTATCTCTACCACTATGGGAATTGAATTGACGATTGCGTTTCTGTGATAATGTGGTATGCTAACCCGGACGAAGTTCTACATTTTTAGTGACTGACTGACTGACTGACGAATCATCATCACCAATTGAATTCTGATTATGAAAAACACTAAAAATTCATTGACTAGTATGATTTACTGTTTAATTGTATGATAGAATAGTCTTGACTAAAAAGAGATTGTTATTATTTCAAATATTTTCAAATCTTAATGATAAGTACAATGGTTAAGTGAAATCAATTTTAGTCAATATGAACACATTGTACAAAGTTGAATGAACTGTCGATAAGAATAGCCTAAAGGCATGCATAAACATATACATGTATATATATATATATATATATGTATACTTATCAATGAATGAACGAACACATTTTCCACCATAGTTCATATTCTATCTGTATGTATCATTACACTTTTTGAATAAATCATAAATATAACGTACATCTAATAATCTAACCATCATTATTTTATTCATTGATAAGTGTGAAAAAAAACACTGTATAAATAGTTTTTTTTTTTTCATGAAACGAATATTATTAAATTATAAAATAATTCTAATTTATTGTATAAAAAACTAAATTTTACACTCAATTGATTCCTATTTAAATAAACAAGAATTATCCAGTGCCCACTTGACCCACTGCATCTTTTTTGGTATACGCTATTTTATTTTGAATAATTCAATATCGTGTTGTTTTATCCCAGTTTGTTTTATTTTTCTGTTCAGATTCGGATGAAAATTGATCAATATGTTAAAACCTACAAACCTACAAACTCAGTACATTTTAACAAGGGATCATCCGGTAAGACAATGAAAACAAGATGGTATTAAACCAATAAGATTACGTTACTTTATACAGAATAACCGCTGATAATTGATAATTGATAATTCAACATGCATTGATAAGTCAGTTGGCAGGATCAATTCTACTCAAAATCTATCAACACATGAAGAGTCAGTCAAACGAAGTGAATTATCATACTTTTTGACTGAAAATGAGAAAAAAACACGTCTTACGATTTGGAATACCATCCAATAGATTCAGATGTGATTAATATGTTCGATTTTTAGTCACTTTATTACAAGATTGAATTTCTTAGGCGAATAGGTAGTATTATTAGGCCTTATGTTCAAAGTGTAGTACGATGCCGAATACATCAATCTGTACCTGATTGCAATCATATAAAAATTCAAATGGTCAGATCAGAGAAAATATTTTCTTAGATTCAGTTATGCTTACAAACAATTTGGTCAGTTAATAAACTTTAATTCATTACTGATTGACATTTACAAAAGCCTCTAAAGTTCTCATGTGTTTAATCGTAGTGAGAACCAGGTATTAGATATCATTTATCATATCTGATGACAATCAAACAACACAATAGATCAAATATTGAATCTCAACTCATAACTAACTTTCCATGTGAATTTAATGTCTGTCTCTGAGTTGTAGGATAAAGGGTTTACTGTTCACACTATTAAAGGATTGCAAAATCACAACAAAACCGTTGTTCAATGCAATCCCTGTATAAAAATGTTTCTACCAAAACCGATGTGACGTTCTGTCAATTCAAGTTTAAAAGAGTGACTTTCATGCCATTTTTTGAAAAATCATACTAATGTCGGTTTATATGAACTTGTACAACAAGCACTTTTATATCATTTGATTAAGCGCATTGTTTTGAGAGCATATCACAGATGCCGTACATCGAAAATCCGAACTGAAAGGTAACTGGAAAATAATCATGATAGAATACGGTAAGCTGACAAATATTCTCACTAATGAAGTGTTATAATTTACCGGTACACAATCAAACCAAAACAACCGAGGAATAAAATTTTTTTCATACCAACATCTTAATGTAACTCAAGTTGATTCAAATTGAAAGAATCTGTTGTTTTCTTCTCTCTTCACATGGCAGAAAGTTCTAGCTACGTAGACTGATTGTCTATTTGTGACCGATCACAACCAACCAGCTTATTGTTGCTCAAAAATGAGATTCTATGAAAGCTCCATAATAGAACATTCAGCCCAGCAAATGAAACTCTACCATAGTTCACATATTATTTAATGCAAATAACATTAAGCTCATGAAGAGATTCAAATTAATCACCTATGAATTACAAATTTTCAGACAATTTGATTCAGCCAATAGTTTTGACAGGAACCCTCTTGAAATTATATTAGCTCGCTACTGTTTTAAGAAAGCCTTCACTATTGAATCTGATGGACAGCCATTTCGTCTTTATATGGGACTGATCATTTGTGCGCATCCGCAACCCAGGACCTTCGGTATTGTTGAACTGTCTGCTTGCTACTGCCATTCACTAATTGTTTTGTAAAGGAAACTTGCTAAAACAATTTGTACAGACAATTCCATATTGTACTAAACATATAATACTGAATAAAACCAGTATTAATATGATTATTATTATTTAATGATAAAATGTTTATCAGACAGCTGTCTGTGCAAATACACAATTAAAAAGGCTTATTTCTACATCAGAAAGAATAATAAATAAATCTGTCACAGTGACACAGTTAAAAGACTTTGGCCAAAGTTCATTAAAGTTGACAATTACTCATTTCAATCCATTATACTTCATGAATAACTTACTTCCTTCAATATTTCAAGGTTAAACAGTATTCATCTTTTACTTTGGAGGTCAACATCTTAGACTCTTACATCAGTAGACAATTATAGTATTGTATTCAGTTTAATATTTATTGAATAGAGGACACTCGATATTTGTTGGCATTCTTACGCCCCTTCAAACGTATAGGTTTAAAATTCAGTATATTTTCCTGTAACCGACTGAGTGTCAAACGGCGAACACTTTATTTTGAAGTGTATTCAACGATGTAAGTTAATTAATGCATTGACAACATCAATCTCTTGCAGGGAAATGACTTCAAGTTTTACATGAAGTTTATTTTAATGTTCGTCAAATCATACTACTAATAAGAAACCAAGTAATGCAGTTCACCGGTGTGTTTCTTCTGGTATTTTACACAAAAACTGTATGCAACAATAGAATTTCAAAATACTTACTATAAGACAATTGGAAAATATCAATGATTGCATAGTTTATATCAAGACCTTATCTGAGTCAAATAACCTCAGATAACTAGGAACCTTCGGATAACTGTTTAGTCTCAGTTTGGGATTCCTCACGAATACACCACAACAACAATAACAGAGTCAGATCCCAATATTTCCAACAAGCGCTAAACCATTGGACTTTCAAGCTGATGTCCAAACAGTTCACATAATTTATTTCGGTTGATTTGTTATATCAACTAAATGATTCAAATACTAACATTTGTGATTTTCACTAAAGGGCTATGTAGATTGTTGAGTCTCATTAAAACTATGAATCAATACTTGTTCGATTACCATTGGAAACCTGGAACAACTGAATGTTCATTTCGTCCCAGTATGAGACTGATCATTTAAGATGCGCAGTGCTGATGAGTCCCATACTAGGAGGAAACGGTTGTTCAGTGATTCCAGGTTTCCAATCCTGGTCTAACAATCATCGATTCATAATTTCAAAGTGACTTTTGTCTTATGAATAAATGGTGTTTTAAATTCAAACAAACAATTAATGAAACAAAGTTTTTCTTGCTTCACATAATACATTTTCTTCTAAATAATGGAAATGAAATTATTTTGTTTAAATAAGACCAACAACAGTTCATTTTCTACTAACTACAATAAAACAATAAAATTTCTATGGAAAGGAATAATTAAAAAAATTAGAAATGAAAGTTGATTGGCAAAACTGACCTCTACATAAAAATATGTACAAACAGAAAAAGCAGACTGTGGTACATACAACATTATCTACATAAAGTTCAATGAATAGTCCATGAATGAAACTTTGTTTGTTTGGTTTCATTCACATTATTGAAGGTGATGTTATTTTTGAACGACAAAGTTCACATGTTTTTCGCCGATCAATCATAAAAATTTTTAGCATATTTATGCATAAGTAGACTGATCCAACTAAGATCACCAGACTTCGGTGGTCATAATGTGTGTGTGTGTGGGCGTGTGTACATGTACATGTACAAACATTCACACCACTGAGTCATGAAACACTCTACTTCATTTTGTTTTCGATATGAAAACAGTAGTCTACATACGAGTACGAAAATACACCTGAACAGGAGGGTGCAAAAATCAATTATTTGTTGGATAAACAATCTATGTCAATAAATATTGTTCAAAAAGCAACTACTAACTGGGTCATTTAACGATCATAGTTGATGAACATTTCTAGTGAACATGTGATGTTTGTTAGTTTGCCAAGCTTCTGTTTTATCTGTGATAACTTTGTTTAACTTACAAAATGCGAATCTATTTGAATGATCGCATTGGAATAGTGAACGCATCCTGTAGTGACAGCCGAAATAAGTTGAATCGCAATATTTATTCCTTATGTAATTATCACATAAACATAACATGAATGTGAAGGCACTAGACTGCTGACCTGGAGTTAATGAAATTTTCCTTGAATAAATAGCCTCTTCTATGACACTGACTTCGTATGAAGAATGCAGAATCAGCATAATATCGATGCTAAAAATGCCTTATCTCTCCCAGGAGTATGAATTTCAGAACTGGTTGTAAGATTTTAAAATGAAGCACAACGAAAATGACTCACAATCAGGTCGACTGAACCTATGTCTACGTATATCGAATCATGCAAGGAAAATCAGTCCGTTGATAGACATCAATCAGTATAAAATCTTGGTCAAAGATACTTAACTTCATAATCTAAAGACAAAGTAGTCCTGTATCCAATTAATAAAGGGTCAGTAGATATGCATCACTATACAGTAGTATACACATTCGATAAATTTGAAGAGATCAATATCGACATTCTATGACGACCAGATTGGTGATGACATTTGACTAAGATTACATACTGTACAGTTTACAAATCGATATTTTATTGAACGCAGACAAACATGAATCAATGTTATGTTTATGTAATCCATACAGACAAATTGATATCAAATTAACATCATTCTAAATTATACCAATTTTACTTACAGTACAATGTGTCAAACGTTCCGTTGGAGGTAGATCACAAGTTGTGAAGCACTGAAGAAAAAATAAATTTCAGTAACGTAAAAACAAAATTCAAAAACAGATCATTCTTACAATAAAACTTTGATTGCAGAAAGTCATAATATTCAGTAAATGTGTTTTTATGCCATCGAAAAGCATAATTGACTATCCTATTCAAAATCCGAAGGTTAATGGCATACAACTATACATGGTAAAACTGATTTTTTAGAGGTTGTAGTTGCAATTATACTCTTGAACCCTGACCTAGTAATTTTACTTGTTAATAGATACAAATGAGACGTAAATATCTTGTGCGCAATACCCTGTGAAGTCATTTGTGTTTAGGGGTGAACAGTTCATTTCTCGGAGCAAGTAGTTGTCCAATGCTCGCTGATTTTCAGTTGATGTCTAACCAAGATCAATCAGTGAAACAAATCATGATGCTAAACACATTTTTTAAGTTTTACATATAATGATGCTAAAAATGACCAATACAGCATCATGCTAGACTACTGCCAATGAGGATCATTTGATATGAATTCTCAACACAGAATTTTCTTCTTGGGAAGGCAGATGATCCCTACACCCATGAATGTATTTGCTACAATGTGTGCGTTACATACATACCACTGGTACTCAAGCTTTCACCTAAGCACTTTATGATATACACATAGAAACAAGCATTCTATTAGCCCCTCATTATATTTTTATTTAGACCTGTAATTTTTATTTTGATAGATTTTATGGCGTGATTTTGTTTTAAGGCAGGCAACTCAATTCAATCAACGTTCATCTTGAAGCCACCCAATGAGCATACTCTTTGCATATACCTGTGCACATGAATGACGCATGCAGTTCCTATACGCAAACATACACATCAAGAGGTTTCTTTGCTTTGTGGATTTGAGCATCATATAACTCTTGCCGGTCACGGCATTCCAGTCTTCTCTGATTTTCAGAATTCAGAATCCAATCATGTTCAAATACCGATGAACATTACAATGAACTAAAATTGATATGTCAGTGTTAATTGACGACCGGTTTTCGTTAAATTAATATAATAAACTAAGTAATGAATAGAACGAAAGCTAAACTATTAATGCAATGACCTTGATGACAAAAGGTGGTGGTATTCCAGCCATAGAGGTTGGCGTAGCCTCATTCAGGCACGCCAAGTGGCATTTGTGGGAAAGAGTATTCAATCGAGGCACACAAACCTTCTTCATAGATGTGTTTCGTCATGGACTATAATCCCGAAGATCTTGGTGCACCGGCGTTACTCCAGGTGCAAATGTACGTTAGATAGATACCAGAAACATACCTTGTGGATTGATTCTATGTAATCATTCAATTGGCTGTTGTTTGGTATGAATCGAATGCGACGAGTAATTCAACCAGGCAATGTAATACTTCAGATATTTATCAATAATTATTCAAGTATTATACCTGTTACAAATGTAAGTGATTAGCGGAACTCAGTAGCTGAATGGATAACTTGTGGTTTAGTTCAAGCTGAAAAGTATCGAGTTTCATCCTTTCTTTGAGAACATTACCACTGAAATGCAAGTCCCGAATAGAATGTTATTGAATTTGTGCATATTTTCTGCTGAAAGCACTTTATTGCAATCACACATAGTTACATATGCTGTTGAATAAAGCGAGTATTATTATTTAGTGAAATATTATCATAACATCATTGATGTATTGATGCTGAATAGTTAACAATGATCACTTACACCTGAGCTACATTGATCACGTGATTTTGTAAAACATGCGAACCAAGTTAGATTGTCGAATTTTTCATTATCCCACATTTTCTATTTTAATACAATAAATAAAAGAAAAATGCGACCATAATGAATAATAGATAGATAGATAGATTTAAACAATTTATATCAAGTTAAAAAATGTGATATTATACATTTAAAACAATAATAATAATAATAATAATAATATTAAGTGGATAGTTTATTTGTACAATTTGAAGTTTGAACATTGGTAGTCCTGTTGCTGGTAAATTTGTAGAAACTCACAGCTAACGAATTCTATACTAGAATGAAATGATTACGTAGTATCTCTTAGTTTTCAATGTTCACCAAGCTAACATAACCCTGAACTGGAAAAAATACTTCAACACTGGTATTTATAATAGTATGATTGTTTGAAAATGGTAGTCGGTTCGAAATAAAAGATTTTCAAGTTCAGTAAGCCTGATCGTTCGTATTTAATAACTTGTTTGTATTCATTGTACTCACAAAAAGGTTGTAAATAGATAATAAACCGTATTCGAATCATATTTTCGATCCCTAATCTTATCCATTACTGTGAATACTGCTACTACCTTTACTACTATGAGATTTTAACTGACGATTTCGATCGAATTTAAAATGCCCAGTGATATTTGTCAATGAAACTACTGTTAATTATTTGACAATTCAATTATTCCACCCGAAATATAACAAATTAGCTATCCGTTTGAAAGTGTTCACCTCTTAATTATGGTTTTATTGCCATCATCAGCATCATCAAGAGTTCATTCTTTTTTGGAGCTTAATACAAATTATATTTATTGCAAATAAATTCAGCATTTCTATAAGAAAATTCACAAATATTTGAAAACAAATTCATCATTTTTCAATGAAAAGTAATTCATTCCTTTTAATACTACAAGTAATAACGACACTACTACTACTACTCACACTGCTACTACTGTGGTGTGAGCTACTTATAAGTAGTATATGACGTGAGTGTCAACGTAATGTCTGGCAGCAGAAGATGGGGGAAGATCAAGAAAGGAAGAGTTAGAACACAATGGAATTTGTATGAAACGCATGAAGAGTGACAATGGATTGATTTTTTGCAACAGTAACAGTCCAGTTCGAAATGATGAACTGTTATTTTGCAAATGAACGATTTACGATATGGTTTTCCGATTTTACTGAGTAACTCTATAATATTCGTTATATACAATTCGGTTGCCCTCACCTGTGTTCCCGTTCAATACACTACTACCACCAATACTACTACTACCACTACCACTACCAATACTACTACTACTACTATTACTACTACTAAGTCAAATGATTGACGTTTATGCCGGTAGATTGTTTATTTTCCACAATTTTAAGTGTTTGCTTTATAGTGATAAAAATACACATATTTAGTCAGTCAATTACAATGTAGACTTTTGTGCATATTTGCATCAGTGCAAGTTGCTATAATACTACTACAATACCACAGAGCACATATATATTGCACCAGTCTATATGTTTGTGTAAAAAATATCACTGTTATGTGTGAAGAATGTATCTATAACTAGGAAATCATCGCATTTGTATTCTGTAAAATCAAGAGATTGACAGTCATTTAGCTTATTTGATGATTAGTTTAGAAATCAAATAAAATTGTCACTATATTTGAATGTGTTTCAATCATGGTGGAACAATTTGAAGTTTCTTTCCTCAATAAACAAATATCATGGAAATTCAGCTGAACATATTTATCTGTGTGGTCTGTTAGTCTGTATGAATTAAACCGATATACCAAGAACGAAACTCCAAAGTAGATACCAAAGTTTATTCCAAATCACAAATTCGACCAAAATATTTTATTACAAATAGACGACCAATGTCGTTCTAACAACAATAATTATAATAATTACAATTACCTTCTAATTTATTATCTCTTGGAGCAAAAAACTGCAACGAACAACAAAGAGAAACGGGAGTCCAATATGTCCGCAAAAAATAATTCAAACAAGTTCATAAGTTAAGTAAAACAAATATACCCAAAAAACAGTGAAATTAATGATTATATATATAAAGGTTTGATCAGCAAAATGTCTTCGTTTCTCCCGTAACAGGTTGATCTTCGTTTTGTTTCAAAACCTTGTCCGAAAACCGGCACAAACGTTTTCCACGACTGTGAAGGTTTTGCTCCAAATTTGTTTTGGACAGGACAGAAGGTGCAGTAGATCACCAGCACCCCTGTAACAGGGTTGAAATCACAATGTATGATGTTGCTTACCAGTTCCCTTTTCTTTCTATTGCAGAGCGATCGAATATAAACGCTTTGGGAGCCGAAAAACAAGCCCGGCGGGCACTTAACTTAGAGGGTGAATCGTGAGACTTTCATAAACAATCGATCCCTTTTCTGTACTTAGCCGGCGTTATTTAATTCGCTACCGCTTCGTGTAGAAGGTGTGCCTGTGTTTCATCTTGTAGAACCACTTGTGTGTGTTCACAGCGAACATTAGTAAGAACTTTAGGGAGGATCAAAAGTGTTCAGAATGATTTCAGTTATTAGAAGGCCACCTCTGAGTTGCCTATACTCTAGAGGGTGAGTATCCAGTAAGCTGAAGCACTCTTCATAATGTTTGAACTGCAGTCGCTGAATTTTTGCCAGGTTCTTTTGCACTATAATATATTTAAAGTAAGTCTGTTGTCACTTGCTCGACTTGAGGTTTAGTCAGATACTCCTGGAGGGCCAGCTTATCAGCTTGGTTGCAAACTTTCAAAACATCAGTAGCAAAAATTGTTAACTCAGATGATAGTTGTTGAGGTAAATAACCTACATAAATTCAGAGAAGTGATTCCTCTTACTTTATCTGAGCTTTCGATTAGCAGTTAACCTAGAAGGGTTGTAATTGGAGTCGTTCACATTTACTTAATCAGAATATTGTGCTAGCGTTAGGCAGATGATGCTGCTTTTGAAAACAACAGTATCTGATAGTACTTTCAATGAGCTCGATGGGGGGCTTCATATTTACAATCCTATCAGCCGACTAAATGGGAACTACGCGCTGGACGCTTATCTTAAAGTGATATAGAGATAAGCTTATCAGTCTAGTGATTATTCTGACAAATCTTTTTAATTAAGGACAGAAATTAATAATCGAATAATGAGTATCAATCCCTAAAACATCGATATATTCTGTTCTACCGCTTGAAATACTAACTTGTAGTCAAGTTTCCACTGATCGAGACTACCACCTTTTCATTTTACAATAACTCACTAACTTTATGTGACTTATTCATTGGAGCGGTTACCACTAAGACATCTCACATTCGGTTTGTTGAAAGGGTTCTTGCAAGAGTTTTATATCAAAACATGAGCAGTTTAGCGACTGGATAGGCTAAATATGTCACCATGAAGAGAAAGATAATTTCATGAATAATTTACGCCGACGATCTCATCCGTTTCTATTCGCAGACATCAATTGTATCAGAACTTACTATATGTAACAATATGTCTTTATTTACTCATGGTAAATTAATTAAAGAAAATCACTTTCGTAAGTATTACACTCCCTGCTGAAGAGCGTCGCTCGTAGGTCTGTGTTGTTGTCCAAATTTTTATCTTGGATCTGCTAAGTTGTGTCAAGCAAGACAGGTCTAATGAAAATTCGTCGAAGCTGCTATTCCGTTCAAAATAGGAGTCGTTCTCAGTCATTATTTATGCTTATTGAACTGCGTATACAACTGATGATTAAAAGTTTTGCCTTCTTTTCAGGGCTTAGTAGGTGACCATAGTTGTATGATACGACAGAAGCATATAAATGCAATCCAGGTTTTCTTTCAACCGCTCATCCGAAAATACTTGCAGGTCTCTTGCAAAGTTTGCAGCGGGAACAAGATATCTATTTGTAATATAATCAATGCTGATCGTTAGGTGGCTTATGAATATTATGCAGCGGAGTGTCTCCCAGAAGTAACTACAGAAGAGAAGAGTGTTAGATTGGAGTGCGTGACGCAATCAAAGTGTTTTAAAGACCGGAAGATATATGTAATATGACAATCAATAATCCGCTAGTTTTGCAAATGAAAGTCCGTAGATTAGGTTTACATATTTTGTTAGTAAACAGTTTTCTCTAAATTCACTAATAATCCGCCTGGTCTTGGACCTGTAGTGGAATACTTTTATGAAAAGAATGCGATTGGTCTAATAGAAACATTCATCAGTAAAACCAATTCTACCAGCCATCCTTAAACTGTACTTATTGTTTATAACACAATTTTAAGCCCAACCTTCTGTTTATGTTGCTGCCATCTTCGATGAAGCTGCTCTTTATTTCCGTGTTCTTTCGAAGCCATGAATTTGTCAGTGAATATATTCTTTACTCTGGATTTATTTATCTATACAGTGACAGGCTCGTAATCAGTATTTAGTGGTGATTATAGTCAATATCGACTTGAACCTCACCAAAGACCTTCGTTCATTTTTGAAGGAGCGTGCTTACAGGATGGAAGCACCAACCACATTTGATTATTGACAGAAGCTCTTTTAAGTCATTCAAGTCAATGATGGCGAAAAGTCTGATATGAGTAATAAAATCCATGGAGTTGATGCGACGCAAATCATTAACATCAGTCGTTGTCTTAAATTATGAAATGAGTTTCTTTTTGGCTAGTCTACTGCCCTGGTTTAATCAATCAAACCGCCCCATCGTTCGTAGCCAGCAACGGCGGATCCACCCAGTGAGGAGATATGCTGCAAGATACTTTAACGCTTGAAGCGCCACATGCCAAAAAGCCCGATGATGTGAGTATTCTCTGTGGTTTTTTCTTTTAATCATTCATGATGTGCTGGTTACTGTGGGTCCTGTAGGGTGTGTAGAATCTTTTTTGAATGTTTTGTTGTTTGGAAAACCCCTCCATGTTTATATATTTATGTTATGATATGGCTGACTCTTTCTGTTGACATTTTGGTACTCTATTTGATTCCATTTTGAGATTTTATCATTGTATATTGTTATTATTTCTATATTTTGTACTTATATTGAAGTTTGTATGTTTGCTTCTGAACTGTACTGTGGTGT